CTATGAGGTGAGTGCTTTTCACTCACCTCATAGTTCAAGCCGACCTGTGACAATGAGACTGTCACAGGTCAGCTCAGTAGATCGGGAAGTGAGCAAACACATACTGGCGTTCGCTCACTTCTCGATCTTGTCAAGGCAGAGAGCCTTGACAGGATCGAGAGGTGAGCGAACGCCGGTATGTGTTCGCTCACCTCCCGATCTACTGAGCCGACCTGTGACAGTCTCATTGTCACAGGTCGGCTAGAACTATGAGGTGAGTGGAAAGCACCCCCCTCATAGTTCTCCTTTAATACTTTGGTTTAAATATCCAGAGTTGAATAACCATTGGGATATCCGGTAATGCTTTTGGCTGCTAAAAAACACCCAAAACGAGCTAAAGATACAATGTATAACAAAATGTATATTTAATATTAATAATTCTACGTTGTCATTGTGTGTAGGTGGAACACTCAGAGGTACTATGAGACACAACATAGCTAATATACACAGATACACTGGGATTACAACATGATGTCCAAGCGCCCCCATGTGGTCAGATAAGGGTATAGCACTCTGTGCCGGTACTTCTCAGGTGAGCATCTCTGCAGCTGTATCATGAAAGATAGTATGTGGCTCTTCCCTGCCTGCATGCTTGCTACTGTGGGTGTCTCCTATGATCATCTTCAACTCAACACAATCCTAATCTTTGGCTGGGGCAAGTGAAGCGGACCAAATCCCCATTTAAGGCTCCATGACTCGAACAGATCAATCCGTGCAGGACATGCTGTTGGGAGGGATGAAGGCATCCTCCTGGGTGGGATAAGGACTGAGGACATTCTCCTGGGTGGGATAAGGACTGAGGACATCCTCCTGGGTACGATTAAGACAGAGGACATCCTCCTGGGTGGGATTAGGACAGAGGACATCTTCCTGGGTGGGATAAGGACTGAGGACATCCTCCTGGGTGGGATAAGGACTGAGGACATCGTCCTGGGTGGGATAAGGACAGAGGACATCCTCCTGGGTGGGATAAGGACAGAGGACATCCTCCTGGGTGGGATAAGGACAGAGGACATCCTCCTGGGTGGGATAAGGACAGAGGACATCCTTCTGGGTGGGATAAGGACAGAGGACATCTTCCTGGGTTTGATAAGGACTGAGGACATCCTCCTGGGTGGGATAAGGACAGACGGCATCCTCCTGGGTGGGATAAGGACAGAGGACATCCTCCTGGGTGGGATAAGGACAGAGGACATCCTCCTGGGTGGGATAAGGACTGAGAACATCCTCCTGGGTGGGATAAGGACAGAGGACATCCTCCTGGGTGGGATGAAGACAGAGGAGATCTTTCTATAATTGGCTCAGTTTATTTCTCCATAGGAGACTGAGATACATTCTAAGAAGGTTAACAAGGGCGAGGAGGAGACGGTTACTGCCAATGCTAAGGACAGAGAACATTCCCTTATACCAGTTATCTATGGCTGTGGAGACATAGCAGCACGCTGGTGAGAGTGAGAGAGAAAATCCTGCTAAAAAAAGATGAGATCCTCCTGGCAGGAATAAATCAAAAGAAGTTTCTTCTGAGAGGGTAAAGTCAGAGAAGGATCCTCCGGGGAGGGATAAAGACACAGGGCATACTCTTGGAAGGGGTGAAGACAGAGGACGTCCTCCTGGGTAGCATATAAACAAAGGAAATTCTACTGTGAGACCTGAGCACAGAGAACATCCTCCTGGGTGAGATAAAGACAGAGGAGATTCTACTGGGAGGCATTAAGACAAAGGACATGCTCTTGGGAGTGGTGAAGACAGAGGACATCCTCCTGAGCGGGCTAAGGACAGAGGATATCTTCCTGGTAGAGAAGACGACAGAGGAGATCTTTTTAAGAGAAATGAAGACAGAGAGGATACTCCTGGATGGAATACAGTCAGAGGACATCCTCCTGAAACAGATAAAGACAGAGGACTTCCTCCTAGAATGCTTAAAGTCCGAGGAGATCCTCCTGGGAGAGATAAAGACAGAGCAATCCTCCTGGGAGGGATCAAGACAAAGAAAAACCTCCTAGGTGGCATAGATAGAGGATGTTATACTGGGAGAGATGACAACAGAGGGCATCTTCCTGGGTGGAATTAGGACAGAGGAGATACTTCTGGTAGAGATAAAGACAGAGGACATCCTCCTGGGTAAAATTAAGTTAAAGGACATCCTTCTGGGTGGAATTGGAACAGCGGAGATCCTCCTGATAGGGATGAAGACAGAGGACATCCTCCTGGGTAAAATTAAGTTGAAGGACATCCTCCTGGGTGGAATTAGGACAGAGGAGACCCTCCTGGTAGGGATGAAGACAGAGGACATATTCCTGGGTGGAATTAGGACATAGGAGATCTTCCTGGGTGGAATTAGGACAGAGGATATACTTCTGGTAGAGATAAAGACAGAGGACATCCTCCTGGGTAAAATTAAGTTAAAGGACATCCTTCTGGGTGGAATTGGAACAGCGGAGATCCTCCTGATAGGGATGAAGACAGAGGACATCCTCCTGGGTAAAATTAAGTTGAAGGACATCCTCCTGGGTGGAATTAGGACAGAGGAGACCCTCCTGGTAGGGATGAAGACAGAGGACATATTCCTGGGTGGAATTAGGACATAGGAGGCCCTCCTGGGTGGGATGAAGACAGAGGACATATTCCTGGGTGGAATTAGGACTTAGGAGACCCTCCTGGGAGGGATGAAGACAGAGGACATATTCCTGGGTGGAATTAGGACATAGGAGGCCCTCCTGGGTGGGATGAAGACAGAGGACATATTCCTGGGTGGAATTAGGACATAGGAGGCCCTCCTGGGTGGGATGAAGACAGAGGACATATTCCTGGGTGGAATTAGGACATAGGAGGCCCTCCTGGGTGGGATGAAGACAGAGGACATATTCCTGGGTGGAATTAGGACATAGGAGGCCCTCCTGGGTGGGATGAAGACAGAGGACATATTCCTGGGTGGAATTAGGACATAGGAGGCCCTCCTGGGTGGGATGAAGACAGAGGACATATTCCTGGGTGGAATTAGGACATAGGAGGCCCTCCTGGGTGGGATGAAGACAGAGGACATATTCCTGGGTGGAATTAGGACATAGGAGGCCCTCCTGGGTGGGATGAAGACAGAGGACATATTCCTGGGTGGAATTAGGACATAGGAGGCCCTCCTGGGTGGGATGAAGACAGAGGACATATTCGTGGGTAGAATTAGGACATAGGAGACCCTCCTGGGAGGGATGAAGACAGAGGACATCCTCCTGGGTAAAATTAAGTTGAAGGACACCCCCTGGGTGGAATTAGGACAGAGGAGACCCTCCTGGTAGGGATAAAGACAACAGAGATGCTCTTAGGTAGAATGAAAACAGAGGACAGCCTCCCAGGTAGATTAAAGACAGAGGACATCCTCATGAAACAGAAGAAACGTCAACTTCCAGCTGATCTTCATAGATTTCCCCTCATAGATGTCACCCGCTGCTATATTTTTGAACAATGAGGTGCCTCTGGCTATGTTCACGCCTAGGCGATTTAGCTGGCGAGCTTGCGGAACTGTTCTTTGAAAACCACAATGTTTTCAATGCATGGAGATGTCTATGGGACCCAAACCGCGCGACAGGAGGTTTCGTCCGCGCAACAAACTGCAAACACAGCTGGTGTGAACAGCCTCCATTGAGTTCAATGCAAATTGGTGTTCTGCGCGATACATCGCCTAGGTGTGAACCTATCCTCAGAGATTTGCGTCATCCATGTGCAGTGACGTCATCTCGCATTCCTCATCACATGATCAAAAATGATGGAAACTCAAAAATAAACATTTTAGTTCATTGTAAGTAAAATAAATGACAACTTTATGAAATACGCATTGCCTTGATTTACTGTTTTTAACATACTTTATCTATCCCAGCGAACCATTTGACTTGATCACGTGATCATTGTAAATGCCCGTGGGGGACGCGCATGCGTTAATCCCGGTGGTGCGCAAGCGCAGATGGTGAGGTCGACGGCGCGACAGTCCTGGCAGAGGTGGACGCGCTTTACGGCTCTCTGCTTTGCGGGACCTCGGAAACCCCTGACAGCTGGAAGTGCGACAGTCCTGGCCGGGAGAGGAAGCGCTCGGTTTACGGCTCCCGGCTCCCACGTGTAGGGTGAGTGGAGGAAAAGCTCCTGGTATATGATGTTGGGACGTTACAACTCTGTGCATGGAAGGCACTCTGGGACTTGTAGTTCTGTTGGTGCTGCAGAGGTCCCATGGAGCGCAGCCTTCGGGGGTTGGTGTGGCCCCTGGTACTGGCCCTAGGGTTGGACATGATGGAGGCCTTTGCCAGCATAATGCATTATTCCAATTTAGTATGTGTGTAAAGAGGACCTGTCATCAGTGAGCCTGTTATGTGATGACACTTCATGCCTGTCTGATGAGATAATGGGGTGATGGCACCAAGACCTGAGAGTCACCCCAAAGGGGTGATCACTGATGGATAGACAGTGACTGGGGTTGCAGCGGGGGAGGGAATTGATGCCATAGACGGGGGTGTATGGCAGACAGACTGCCCAGGTAACGCTTCTCACTGCTTGTCTTTTCCAGTGGCGCCATCCTGATACGACGCACCATGGAGGACGAGGAAGATCTGTTTGTGGCGGAGGGCCCCCTGAGCGCCAGCGAGGATGAGGTGAGCGCATTTACGTCATTTACCCCTCCAGAGCTCCCGCCCTTCAATGGCCTTAAAATAGAGAGCAAAGGCTCCAGGTTTTCATGTTATCATTCACCCCAATAGCGGAATGCTTGTTTCACATGTGTCAGGGCCAGTAGTGCGTGGAGTAGATGGCTTTACCCTTCCATGTCGTAGATTCCATTAGACATTCACCTCACTTATTAGACATTCACCTCACTCCCCTCTGATTGATGAGCGCTTGTACAGCTGCTGAGTAGAAAGATAAACCCTTAAAACCCAGAGGAGCTCCCCGACATCTGTCTATGAATACATTGTGGTCCCGGACGTCCCATTCACATTGTTGTGTTTTAGCAGGAGGAGGATAGCGACTCGGAGCGCAAACACCGGAAGCTGCTGGAAGCCATCTCCTCCCTGGATGGGAAGAACAGGTCAGACCCACGTTCCCTCTGAGCATCTCCAGAGCGCTGAGTAGAATGAGACGTCATTATCCAGGAGTTTAATATTCATTACTTAAAGGAGAACTATGGGGTTAAGTCTTTTCCCCATAGTTCTCCTTAGGGTAACGGGAGGACACAAACTAGCGTCCTCCCGTCACCCTAGGCTCAGTATACCGCAGCTCGCGGTATACTGAGACGCCGCAGCTGAAGCGGATCCCGACAATTATGTCTGGATCCGCCCAGCTGCGTGAGTGACAGCTGGCTCTGCCTATCTAGAGGCAGAGCCAGCTGTACCCACCCCCTCCCCCGTCCGTTCCGCCAGTCAGCGCTGGAGGATGGGAGCGGGGAGGCGGGAATCCAGTCCCTCCCCTGTCACGGCAGAGAGCTGTGACAGGATCGAGAGGTGAGCGAACGCCGGTATGTGTTCGCTCACCTCCCGATCTACTGAGCCGACCTGTGACAGTCTCATTGTCACAGGTCGGCTGGAACTATGAGGTGAGTGAGAAGTATTCACCTCATAGTTCTCCTTTAGCATAGATTGCAAGGCTACAGTCCGGTCATGCTGACATTTTTGACTGACTGGAGAGACACCCTAAAATGTTTCAAGCCCAGCCTATATCAGTATTGAGACGATTCCACAAATACATGGTGATTGTTTTATACTCGCCCCCTTATATACTTCTCTACAGCTGCTCCACTTCAAAACAATCCAGTGGCAGAAATCCTTATGATGTATATTAAGCCATTGTTTTTATCCCCCTCTATAACAGGCGGAGGTTGGCGGAGCGCACAGAGGCGAGTCTACAAGTGTCTGAATTCGGCATCAGCTCGGAAGGTTGGACCCTTTTTATATTCTTTTATTATCATTTTACACATTTGTATAGCGCTGACATATTCTGCGGTGCTGTGTGCTGACTGAGGTGTGTGAGTTCAGTGAAGGTGTCCCTGGATCCTCTTTGCTGGGGCTGGCTCCCGATTGGCTGTCGTAAACAGCAGGAAATATGTCCATTCACAGTGATGCTGGAGGTCCTTTTTTTTCTTTCTAGATGTTCACTTCATTGAATTTGTTTTTTTACTGATACTTTGACAATGAATGGTCCCTCCAGCAACGGTATGTCCTTCAGCGTCCTCGCATCCTATACACCCTTGGTTCTCAACTGGTGCCCAAAAGTGGGTCGCGCCCCTGTGTTCAGTGGGTCGCGCCCCTGTGTTCAGTGGGTCACCGCGTGCCTTCCACTGCGCTAGGTGAGAAGCTCCTCAGCCTCCCCCTAGCGCACCACTGTCAGTTCTCATGCCAAGCAGTCATTCATATGGTGTCCAGCACCGTGTGTCAGTTTGAGGTGGGATGGGGCTATGGCCATGAGTGAGCTCCATCCATACTGCAATGCTTACTGCTCCCTCACGTGTCCTATAGTGGTGCCATGGTGACATCACATTCTGGCACCTCTACAGGATGCGCAAGGGAGCTGTACAAGCAATGCACATATGGCTGGAGCTGCGTCTCAGCACAGGAGCCCACACTCGACCCCAGGCTGAGGATCCACTCCACTTCTTGTAAAGTAGGGAGACTGGGTGGACCTTTAAATAAAATATTTTTTGGAGTGTGTGTGTGTGAGATTGTGTCTGTGGTTGTGTATGGCTGTCAGTGTTTTGGGGGGCCCGTTCACACTAGCACAGTGCAATAAACGCATAGTACTTTGCGATTAACGCACTGTACTACGCAATGGCACCTACCGTGCATTCTGATGTGGGAGGTGTTTTGCATTGCCATTCATTTATATGGTACCCCACACGCACCTCCCACCCACAGTTCGTACACCCGCACCGTAATGTGCGGTACCCTAATGCCTTGCGTTCCATTGCAGTGCAGACTTGGGTCACGACTTAGTGACCAAGGACAAAGGTGAGTCCTGAGGTTACACAGGGTGAGAATCGCTGCTATACACTGTATAGAACTTGATGACTCGCAGGACCTTAGACTGCTGGCATGGAGGGTGAGCGAGGCTCCAGAAAGAGGTTTAACAGCCAGCCGTCTGAGAGGTTTGAGTGAGCTTAAAGGAGAACTATGGGGTTAGGGCTTTTCCCCATAGTTCTCCTTAGGGTAAGGGGAGGACACAAACTAGCGTCCTCCCGTCACCCTAGGCTCAGTATACCGCGGGCTGCTGCTCGCGGTATACTGAGACGCCGCAGCTGAAGCAGATCCCGACAATTATGTCTGGATCCGCCCAGCTGCGTGACTGACAGCTGGCTCTGCCTATCTAGAGGCAGAGCCAGCTGTACCCTCCCCCGTCCGTTCCACCAGTCAGAGCTGGCGGATCGGAGCGGGGAGGGGGGAATCCAGCCCCTCCCCTGTCACGGCAGAGAGCCGTGACAGAATCGAGAGGTGAGCGAACGCCGGTATTTGTTCGCTCACCTCCCGATCTACTGAGCCGACCTGTGACAGTCTCATTGTCACAGGTCGGCTAGAACTATAAGGTGAGTGAAAAGCACCCCCCTCATAGTTCTCCTTTAACTCCCTGTGGTGCAGGGGTAGCCCCACTGCAAGATTTAAGATATTTTTTTGCCTGGACTTCTTCATTCTTTACCATGGGTGCAAATACCACATTGGTGGCAGCAGTGAGCTGTGACTGGACCTCGGGCTGCTGTAGCAGCTGGGAGTTTTTTTACACTCCCTCAGTTGACTGTCGGCTTTCTGGTAGAAGCTATATACAGCCACCCGATCACTTCTACAATCCCCCACCCAAAAGGTGTCCCTGCATGACTACCCCAGCCACATATCCCAGACTCCGCTCCTTCTGGGTGCCTGGGACAGCCATGGTGAGGGTCGGTGATTAGAGAGGAGGGAGATCAACAAAAGGACGTCCCCTCTGGTGAACGAAGCCGGAAACTATGAGGATGTATCGCTTCCATTTCTGAGCTGTCATTCCCCGGCCACTGTGGTCAGGGAAGAAGCTGATCAAGCACCCTCTGTTCTTGATCAACTTAATTGGGGTCCATAGGAGACATTAGGGGTCTAATGTCTCCTTTAGGCTGACCCCTGGGTCTCCAGCAATATGCTATCGCACAGGGGGCTCACTGGCACACTCAATTTTGAAGCTTGGCTTGTTTAGTATCTATTTACTCGATGCAAGCTCCTCTTTTGTATTAAAAAGTCGGATATTATAGTGTGTTTGTGTGCACTTAAATTTATTTAGATGCATATTTTCCCCGATCATCTCCAAGGACAGCAACCTGAGATGACTCGTTCCTCCCTCTACAGGAAACACTAATGGAACAGTTCAAAAACCCCTCCCGTCCCCCTTGTCCCTCAGTTCAGATTGTGTTTCCTACGTCCAGGACTTCACAACATTTGTTATTTTCTTTCCTGACCGGATGGCCGTTGGGTCAGCGGTCCCCCTCTGATGCAGCTCTGCTGGGTTATGGCTGCCTGAAGCCTTGATGTCTTTTTTGTCAGAGGTACCCCTGAAACGCTTCCCCCCTATTACAGGGGGTTGACTCCCGAGGATCCCGGGCATTATTGCCCTTCCAAGCCCTTGCCCTGTCTTCAACCTTCTGGGGTTGTGCAAGTGGCTGGAGGAGGTGTGGTGCGACAACAGTTCTTGGGCTTCCGGCAGTGCCAGTTGGTGGGTGGAATGCAGGGTTTAAAGGAGAACTATGAGGGCAGTGCTTTTCACTAGTTCTAGCCGACCTGTGACAATGAGGTTGTCACAGGTTGGCTCAGTAGATCGGGAGGTGAGCGGACACATACCGGCGTTCGCTCACCTCTCGATCCTGTTACGGCTCTCTGCCTTGACAGGGGGAGGGGCTGGATTCCCACCTCCCCGCTCCGATCCGCCAGCGCTGACTGGCAGAACGGACAGGGGAGGGTACAGCTGGCTCTGCCTCTAGATAGACAGAGCCAGCTGTCGGTCACGCAGCTGGGCGGATCCCGGCACAATTGTCGGGATCCGCTTCAGCTGCGGCGTCTCAGTATACCGCGAGCTACAGCTCGCGCTATACTGAGCCTAGGGTGACGGGAGGACGCTAGTTTGTGTCCTCCCGATACTGAGCCGACCTGTGACAGTCTCATTGTCACAGGTCGGCTAGAACTATAAGGTGAGTGAAAAGCACCCCCCTCATAGTTCTCCTTTAACTCCCTGTGGTGCAGGGGTAGCCCCACTGCAAGATTTAAGATATTTTTTTGCCTGGACTTCTTCATTCTTTACCATGGGTGCAAATACCACATTGGTGGCAGCAGTGAGCTGTGACTGGACCTCGGGCTGCTGTAGCAGCTGGGAGTTTTTTTACACTCCCTCAGTTGACTGTCGGCTTTCTGGTAGAAGCTATATACAGCCACCCGATCACTTCTACAATCCCCCACCCAAAAGGTGTCCCTGCATGACTACCCCAGCCACATATCCCAGACTCCGCTCCTTCTGGGTGCCTGGGACAGCCATGGTGAGGGTCGGTGATTAGAGAGGAGGGAGATCAACAAAAGGACGTCCCCTCTGGTGAACGAAGCCGGAAACTATGAGGATGTATCGCTTCCATTTCTGAGCTGTCATTCCCCGGCCACTGTGGTCAGGGAAGAAGCTGATCAAGCACCCTCTGTTCTTGATCAACTTAATTGGGGTCCATAGGAGACATTAGGGGTCTAATGTCTCCTTTAGGCTGACCCCTGGGTCTCCAGCAATATGCTATCGCACAGGGGGCTCACTGGCACACTCAATTTTGAAGCTTGGCTTGTTTAGTATCTATTTACTCGATGCAAGCTCCTCTTTTGTATTAAAAAGTCGGATATTATAGTGTGTTTGTGTGCACTTAAATTTATTTAGATGCATATTTTCCCCGATCATCTCCAAGGACAGCAACCTGAGATGACTCGTTCCTCCCTCTACAGGAAACACTAATGGAACAGTTCAAAAACCCCTCCCGTCCCCCTTGTCCCTCAGTTCAGATTGTGTTTCCTACGTCCAGGACTTCACAACATTTGTTATTTTCTTTCCTGACCGGATGGCCGTTGGGTCAGCGGTCCCCCTCTGATGCAGCTCTGCTGGGTTATGGCTGCCTGAAGCCTTGATGTCTTTTTTGTCAGAGGTACCCCTGAAACGCTTCCCCCCTATTACAGGGGGTTGACTCCCGAGGATCCCGGGCATTATTGCCCTTCCAAGCCCTTGCCCTGTCTTCAACCTTCTGGGGTTGTGCAAGTGGCTGGAGGAGGTGTGGTGCGACAACAGTTCTTGGGCTTCCGGCAGTGCCAGTTGGTGGGTGGAATGCAGGGTTTAAAGGAGAACTATGAGGGCAGTGCTTTTCACTAGTTCTAGCCGACCTGTGACAATGAGGTTGTCACAGGTTGGCTCAGTAGATCGGGAGGTGAGCGGACACATACCGGCGTTCGCTCACCTCTCGATCCTGTTACGGCTCTCTGCCTTGACAGGGGGAGGGGCTGGATTCCCACCTCCCCGCTCCGATCCGCCAGCGCTGACTGGCAGAACGGACAGGGGAGGGTACAGCTGGCTCTGCCTCTAGATAGACAGAGCCAGCTGTCGGTCACGCAGCTGGGCGGATCCCGGCACAATTGTCGGGATCCGCTTCAGCTGCGGCGTCTCAGTATACCGCGAGCTACAGCTCGCGCTATACTGAGCCTAGGGTGACGGGAGGACGCTAGTTTGTGTCCTCCCGTTACCCTAAGGAGAACTATGGGGAAAAGCCTTAACCCCATAGACTCCTTTTTAATGCAGCCCAAGCTGACCAATTGTAGACAGAGAAAAGCTGCACATCTGCTGGGTGTGTGTTTTTTTTTTTTTCTTTGCATCCAAAAAAAGCTTCACAAAGAGCTAAAGGTAAACGGGAAAGCACATTGCTCACTGTCAGGCCCCTGATGAAGCCCCTGTTGGGATGAAACATGTTGGAAGACTAGGAGTTGGGTTTTGCAGTGAGCGATGTGCTTCACTTTGGGTTTGTGAATTTGTTTTGCTCTAATAAAGATTTATTTTGCACACACGGATAATAAAACCTCCATTGGGTCATGTGCTGGCCACAGGATGTTCTGGAAGGCTTATCTCACTGCTGGAGTGTAAGATTTAGAAAAAGCCAACCTGTCAGTCGGCACCGTTTTGTCCACTTTGTGATAAGCCGGATCTCAGTGCTCTCTACTGACCGCACTTTGTTGGTGTTCTCAGGAGCTGGGGAGAAGATCTCTCTGTCCGATCTCATTGCACCCATCAAGAAAACCGCCTCCCTGTCTACCGTGAAGAAGCAACTAAACAAGCTGAAAGACAAGAAGAGTGTGGAGCTTCCCCTGAGCAACGAGGAGACACAGAAGGTAACCGACTTCCCTTATTTCATCAATTTTATTAAATGTTTTCCTTCAAATGTGTCATTATTGTAACCATTCATCCATCCGTGTGGTCCTCGAGATTCTGTATGTACTTAAAGGAGAACCTATGGGGTTAAGTATTTTCCCCATAGTTCTCAGGGTAACGGGAGGACACAAACTAGCGTCCTCCCGTCACCCTAAGCTCAGTATACCGCGAGCTGTAGCTCCCTATATACTGAGACGCCGCAGCTGAAGCGGATCCCGACAATTTGTGCCGGGATCTGCCCAGCTGTGTGACTGACAGCTGGCTCTGCCTATCTAGAGGCAGAGCCAGCTGTACCCGCCCCCTCCCCCGTCCGTTCCGCCAGTCAGTGCTGGTGGATCGGAGCGGGGAGGGGGGAATCCAGCCCCTCCACTGTCACGGCAGAGAGCAGTGACAGGATCGAGAGGTGAGCGAACGCCGGTATGTGTCTGCTCACCTCCCAATCTACTGAGCCGACCTGTGACAGTTTCATTGTCACAGGTCGGCTAGAACTATGAGGTGAGTGAAAAGCACCTCCTCATAGTTCTCCTTTTAAGGGCTCAGTCAGACGAGCGTGCAAGGCGTGAACACCCACAAAAACAGATCTGATCCCGGAAAGGGAGAGGTGTTGTGTGTAATTTTGCGCAGCAGCCTGTTCTTCCCTATGGGAGGACTCGGCTTCATGCAATTACATGCGGTCATACGTTCACCCGATTCTGCGCAGGTCCGGGTGCCCATACTTGGTCGCAGACTGTGTGCACGCACGTCTGAATGAGCCCTAAGGACGACGTCCGTTTTCTGTGCTGACCTGATCCGTACGCTCCTGCACTACAAATGCATCCCAATGTATCCCTATGTGTTTTATGGGCTACAGTTCTCACGTGCGCAGTCCGTTGAGGTTACAACAGAAAAATAATGCATGTCACATTTTGTACGGTCAGGAAACTGACCGGAAACGCAAAACGCGCCAAACGCACTGCAGCTCACATACTGACAGCCCCACTCCAGCAAAAACAAATTTTTTTTTTTTTTTTAAACTGGAACGCATCAAAAACTCCCTGCATCAGTAGCACCGCGTCTGCAGATCCGCACCTGATCAGGACCTGTGGAAGTAACTATACTTTGCAACTTGACAGCAACAGTCCTTTTATAGCACTTAGCAATATTATTATTATACAGGATTTATATAGCACCAACAGTTTGCGCAGCGCTATCATGATCTTCCAGACTGTTCCCCTTGCGGAGATGCCGCTGTGTTCTTCTTTGTGTGACGTCACCTGTGCACGTGCAGTCCTACTTTCAATTCCGGCATCCAGGCTGCGTCATTTTTCTATCCCAGGCAAGGCTGCCATGATGCTTTCCTTCCTGGTACCCTCTGTGACTGTTGACTAGGGATGCACCGATACTAGTATCGGTACCGAGTATTTGGGTGAATACTCGTACTAGCCAAACTGCTCCGATACCTTCCCCGATACTGGATCTTCTGGTCAGAGGAAGATTTCCCCTGACCGGCAGTGCTGTAGTGCAACATGGAGCTGGGTTCCTGGGCAATCGGGAACGAATAATGCCACCCGGCTTCCTTCGTTGCTGGTTGGCTGGGAAGCCAGTTTTCCCAGCCAATCAGCATGGAGCTGGCTTCCCGGCCAATCAGGGAGGCGAATCCTTGCCACCTTGTTTCCTAATTGGCTGGGACACTGGGTTTCCTGGCCAATCGCAATCGAGCCGGCCAAACAACATAGTCGGGTTCACAGGCAATTAGGAAGCCGGGTCCATGCCAGCGGAAGCACCAGTACTGGCGAGTACTGAAAGCCAAATATCAGTACTCGTACTCCAATACAGAAAGAAACAGTATCGGTGCATCCCTACTATTGACCAATTGCCTTATCATAACCTTCAGTGTTTTTACTAAGAACTTGTCTATTTTGGTGATTGCGGTTTATTCCGCTTTATGGTTTATTTCCACTTGGTTGGACAAATTGCTGGAACCGGGTCGCCGATACTCCTTGAAAATTCCAGCTGGCGCCTGACTTTTGAATTTTTCTCTAGTAGTTGTCAATGGAGCCGGCACCCAGATTGGACAGACTGGCTCCTTAATTTCATCTTAATTTGTCCGTCGCTGGCTTAATGCAACTTTCATTGCACAATGGTTTTTCTCATGCTTCCCGGCAATGTTTATTAGATATGTTGGACTGATTGAGTTTTGATGGCACCGCATGTGTCAAAACCAGAGAGTAGCAGATCAATAAATAGGATTTTAACGCTGCTGAATGTCCTAACATCCAGTTGAGAATGAGGAAGACGTCGCAGAAACCGCAAATCCCGCTAGATGTGTATTTTCTACTTTCTAAGATTGAGGTAGTTGCAGTGCAGCATGGGAAACATCAGTAATGGCTCCTTGCAGCAAAGACATTGAATCAGATGAATGTAGGGAAAGAGGTGCCTTCCTTGTCTGCAGTTACAGTGCAGCATGCACACAGGCCAGTGGTAAACTGTACAAAGTTGACACTGGTCTGCGTCTGATGATGGGAGTGCAGGGGAAGAAAAGGTGGAAAAAAACAGTAACAGTAAGAGCGGTTTGGGTCTGGAACTCGCTGCCACATGCTGTGATTTCAGCTAAGAGTGTGGAATCGTTCAAGAAGCTTTTGGACGATTTCCTGAGAGACGGTAATGTACAGGGGTACAGGTACTATTAAGAATGAGATGATACATGGACCTATACATACACACACAGGGCCGGATTTGCTCTCCCTGCCGCCCCAAGGCCAGGTTCCGCAATGCGCCCCGCCAACCAGCCCGCCCCCCCTCCCCCCCCCAATCAACGGAGAATGGAACCACATCGGCGGCAGGGACAGGAGAGAGATTCGGCGGCCGGGGGAGGACGGAGTCCCGAAGACCAGCGGAGAGAGGTAGGTGCGGGGCAGGGGACTGCACACATATTACAAGTGATCGTGGCGACATCGCCGCAATCACTTGTAAACGAATGGCCGGATTTCCCACTTACCGCCCGGCACTACATGTTCTGGGCGTCGGGGGACTCCACGGCGCTACCGCCCCTCTGCTACGTGCCGCCCCGAGGCCGGGCCTCGGTGGCCTTGTGGGGAATCCGGGCCTGTACACACATCAGCAATAGGTAGGACTTGATGGACTTAGGTCTTTATTCAACCCCAAATACTACGTAACTATGTAAGAGATTACATCTCGGCTGTCTACAACATCACTCTTCCAATATACAGTAAACCTTTCTAACATTCTCCTTATCAGTGAATATGCTGCAGGAGTGACGGACACTTTTTAACCATTTTTGTTTTAAACAGATCGAGAGAGTGATTTCTTACAAGAATGCAGCAGAAGAGGTGGCCAAATGGGATCATATTGTGAAGCAGAACCGAGCGGCCGAGCAGCTGATCTTCCCACTTGCCGATGAGACTTTAAGACCGACCCGCATCGAGGAGAAGGTTTCTGGGTGGCAGGTATGCTTTATATCTGCTCGTAGAGTTTGATGTCTTTTACCTGTGTGTAATCCCACTGGATCAAGTTCAAGCATACGCGCAGTAAATAAAACCAGGGCATGGACCACTTCCCTCTTAGCCGTCTGCAAAAAGATATTCCTGCCACTTACTGCAATATTCTTCTTCAAAGTCATTGTTTCCATGCACTTTCCTCCTTGATTCCCAGTGCCAGGGATCGGACGCGTTTAACCAGTCCCCTCACCCCCCCATGTAGTTCTCAGTGCTACTGTGCTGATGTAAAGATGTCGGTGTACACAGTTACTTTTCTTCCTATGTTCTCTGCTATAGAGTTAGAAATTTGCCCATCAACGACCCCGACTACCCATAACTCACACCTCTGCCCGAGGACACAACACTATGCCTAGGAATCATGGAAGGTGTAGTCCTGGCAGCCTGTAGGAAATTATGTGAAGTTGCTGCCCAGACACTTCTTAGGGCATCCGAGTATAAAGGCCAATGAGGAGGGAGTTACAATAGTCAAGACTGGAGATAACAAGTGAGTGGATGAGTAGCTACGCGGTTTCATTGGTGAGGAAGGGGCGTATTTGGAAGATGTTACGAAGGTGAAGGCGGCAGGATCTGGATAGTGATTGGATGTGGGACAGAAAGGTGAGGTCCGAGTCAAGGAGTCCGAGACACCTAGGACCTTGGCATGGGGGGAGGGATGGATAGTTGTGTTTTCAATGGAAAAGTTGGGGGACGGAGAAGGAAATATCATGAGATAACTTTTTGGAAAATTGAGTTTTAGGAAGTATTGTGACATCCAGACTGATATGTCAGTAAATTAGTGATGAAGGACACCAAGGGGGTGAGTTGTGGAGAGATATATTTGAGTGTCTTTAATATAGAGATGGTATTGGAGGCCATGCGAGGTTATCAGCTGACTGCTGTAGAATCCAGGAATTCCTCATACACGGGTGGAATATTGTCTGTCGTCCAGGGTTACCCATCGCTGACACTCTCCCTTCTCTCTTCCCAGGCGCGCACACCTCTGGAGATGGAGATATTCGGCATCCTTCAAAGCAACAATCAACCAATCACCGACCCCTTACTGACGCCGCGGGAAGAGGAGTCGTTGAAGGCGATGAGTCTGGAAGAGGTGAGACGACGGGCTGTTCCGGCGTGATGATGTAAAAACCTTACTGCAAACCTAACGTTCAGAAATGGTACCAATGCCGAGGTGCCGAAATAAAAAATAAAAAAAACTTGTCCAAGGACTAAAGCGGGGAGGGGGCTCAATCTACTTGTCCTGATACAAAAAAATTATTTTAACCAAAACCGTACTTAACCGTGCTAAGAAGCTTCTCATTGGTCAGTGTGGTCAGATCTCCAACTCCCATCAAGAGCACTGTAAAGTTATCTGCCTGCAACGGGGACACCCGGTGGCACTGGCAGGAGTTGGAGAACTCGATGAGGATTGGGAAGCGGCATTTGCGGCAATTGTGGAAGTCGACAAGAATTGTAAAATTGCCAGGGCTGGCGGACTTGCGCCATCTCGTCAAATTCGCCAACAGATGTGATATCACGAGTTAGAGATCTCGACGAGTTGGCTATTTCGACAGCAGTTTATATTAATTGTAATCCTGGTGTTCTGACAGGCAGGGGGGGAGATTTTACAGACCTTCAGAGTCTCTTCTACCATAATTACCTATACGCTTTTTTACTTGGTGGTCGTACCAGTAACACACCTCCTGTCCTTGGGTGACAACACTCGCCTGCCTTTCTTGTATAGGACAACCTAAACAAGCCTACAGAATCCAACCTGATAAAATAGAGAGGTTCTGTAGTCCTCGGAGAAAGCCAAGAACAGTGTTACTGATAAAAGAGCCGCACAGGCAGAGAGCACAGAGAGTTATCATCTCATAAGATTCCTGGGAGGATAAACGGGTATATTTTTGCACAGTTATAACAAAACGCTCTCAGTGATCTATTTAGGACACCAAAAGGAATCAAATAAAAGATCCTTGCTGGGGTTCACATACCTTTGAAGATAATTGTGAAAGTTGGATTGTCTGCATCTGTTGCCTTTTAGTTTGTCGGCTTTGGTGCCCTCTGGTGGAAACTTGTAGTAGTGGCTCGCTGCACATGAATACAGTTTTCTTAAAGGAGAACTATGAGATGAGTGATTTCCACTCACCTCATAGTTCTAGCCGACCTGTGACAATGAGACTGTCACAGGTCAGCTCAGTAGATCGGGAGGTGAGGGAACACATACCGGCGTTCGCTCACCTCTCGATCCTGTCACGGCTCTCTGCCGTGACAGGGGGAGGGGCTGGATTCCCCTCTCCCCGTTCCGATCTGCCAGCGGAACGGACGGGGGAGGGGGCGGGTCACTCACGCAGCTGGGCGGATCCCGTCATCTACGTCGGGATCCGCTCCGTCTACGGCGTCTCAGTATACCGCGAGCTGTAGCTCGCGGTATACTGAGCTTAGGGTAACGGGAGGACGCTAGTTTGTGTCCTCCCGTTACCCTAAGGAGAACTATGGGGAAAAACACTGACCCCATAGTTGTCCTTTTAAAGCTGAACTTTATCTGTTTTATTGCAGGTATTTATATAGCGTTTTACACAGTGCACATTCACATCAGTCCCTGCCCTAAAGGAGCTTACAATCTTAAGGTCCCTATCTCACATGCATACATATGAGGGCCAATTTAGACAGTGGCCATTTAACCTTCCAGCATGTTTGTGTGGGAGGAAACCGGAGTAGCCGGAGGTAACCCACACAAGCACAGGGAGAACATGCAAACACCTTGTAACGTCATCTACGTCGGGATCCGCTCCGTCTACGGCGTCTCAGTATACCGCGAGCTGTAGCTCGCGGTATACTGAGCTTAGGGTAACGGGAGGACGCTAGTTTGTGTCCTCCCGTTACCCTAAGGAGAACTATGGGGAAAAACACTGACCCCATAGTTGTCCTTTTAAAGCTGAACTTTATCTGTTTTATTGCAGGTATTTATATAGCGTTTTACACAGTGCACATTCACATCAGTCCCTGCCCTAAAGGAGCTTACAATCTTAAGGTCCCTATCTCACATGCATACATATGAGGGCCAATTTAGACAGTGGCCATTTAACCTTCCAGCATGTTTGTGTGGGAGGAAACCGGAGTAGCCGGAGGTAACCCACACAAGCACAGGGAGAACATGCAAACACCTTGTAGATAGCGACCTGGCCGGGATTCGAACCAGGGACCCCCAGTGCTGCAGAAGCGTTAACCACTACGCCACTGTGCTGCACAACTTTGGGGAGAAAAAAATATTTACTCATGCTATGGGTTCCCCTCCCCACTGCAAGGGTTAACTGCATTTTGTCTGGGGAATGATGAATAAGGTCATATACTTGGCCTTACTCCCACTGCTTTCCTCGTCTTTGTACAACTTGTCCCCAATGCTTCTTACCCTCGCTGCCCGACTGCTCACAACTCTGACGTCATCCCAGGCAATCCAGGGCCAGCTGTCCTGTATTGTAGAGGAGGACGCTGAGGGCCTCATCACATTCCTGTGCATCATAAAGAGGAGGAGAGCACTGGCTGCAAAGTGAGTGTGGAATAAGGTAAGTATATCACCGTAGTCATCATTCCCTAGGCAAAGCAAGCAGGTAACCCTTACAGGTGGGGAGGGGGACTTCCATGCAAAGCTAAATCTCTTCTTTTTCCCCGGAGTTTTGTTTTGAAATCAAAGTGGATTTGGATCACTGTTCAAGGTTTGTTTTTTGTCTTTCTCTAGGCCAAGCTACGGCGAGCTGAGCTCCAGAAAGCGCGCGCCCTGCAGTCCTTCTACGAGGCAAAAGCCCGAAGGGAGAAGAAGATTAAAAGCAAAAAGTAATCGCGTGTTGTTAAATTATTTCTGATACATTTTCTTTCTCTTGCACCATGCGTTCACAGGTTAAGCATTACATCACCATGACTTATAATGCCCGATGGCTTGTTGTAAGGTTCTCCACGTCTGCTTGATTTTGGCTAGACATAAAACCATTTTTTTTTTCTTTGCCAATAATATCCCATTGGGGAGACTTTCCTTCATATCCTCCCCAGTAGACACAAAATGTGGAAGGTATCTATTGGAAGCCTCCCCCCTCTACTCCCTTTTATTTCTTTAATATTTAAATCACATTTCAAAATTGTGTTCTTTGTGTTTTCTATTGTGAAGGCAGAAGGAGGATATAAAGTTGATGGAGAGGAGCTCGGGAGGGTTGATGGAGAGGAGCTCGGGAGGGTTGATGGAGAGGAGCTCGGGAGGGTTGATGGAGAGGAGCTCGGGAGGGTTGATGGAGAGGAGCTCGGG